TTTTACAAGTTGAGAAACATCCAGATCCAGCAGACTTTGGCCCTTGTCTGAGGGGAAGCTGAGGCTTTCTCCAGCTCCTTGCCCCCTTAACACCTTCTTCTCATCCATCTGGGATTCCCACTTTTCAGCCCCCCAAGAGCACACTCTTCTCGGCTGTTACCTCTTGCTTCCAAGCAAACTCCTCCAGAACACACCCTCCAGGGTTAACTACTCTCTCCACCTCATCTGGCAACAGAGGCTGTGTCCCAGGGGCAGGCCTTTTCTTCCCAACACACACAACAGGAGGACTTTCTCACCCCACCCACCTCTCCAGCACTGGAATCTTTCCGCCTGCCTCTGAATTCTGGCGGTAGCCAGAACTTGAACGGTGGGAGTGGCTGGGAGGGAAAGAATAAATGTGACTGAGGGAAGTCAGTGGGGAAATGGCTTGACCGCTCTGGTCTTTAAGAATCCAAGAGAAACCCTTGCATCTTGGGGAGAAGGATTGGGAGGCCACCTCCCACAGGGAGCCATTTGGATTGTCTTGAGGGCCCCTTTTCTTTGAGCACTGGCTTGGGGCCAACACTTGGAACTTGGCCACACCACCAACGGCCCCCTCTCTTGAAGCCCAGCCAGATTTCCCAGCATGTGAAGCCTTCTCCACTCTCTCTGCGTCCTCCCTCAGTCCTCAGTCAGTCCCTAACAACTCAGCAGGTTTCAGCCCTCATGTGTGGCCCAGTCAGTCACTTTGGAGCTCGCTAATCAAAGCTAACTCTGAAAGAGACCTCAAAAGAACGGGGGTGGAGTAGAGACAGGAGTGAGGAGTAGCATTCATTCTAAGGGAAAATCATCTGAGTGGGAAATTGTAAGGAGAGGCAAGCAGAAGGAGATTTCAAATTTCCAGAGTCATTCTCCAGAGATGTATGCAACTCGTGTCCATCTCTACCAAAGGCAGATGGAGTTTGGCTTCAACCGCAGTAGAAACTGAGGTTAGACCGTGGAGCAATAAGGGTCCAGAGAAAACACAAATGGAGGATAATCCTGGAGAGGTCAGCTGGGGTCCCCAGATAGAGATACTCTACGTCCTCTGCCCAGCTCTAGGGCAAAGGAATGGGCAGTGTGTGGGAGAGGAGGGTGAGGCTGATGTCTGCAGAATCCTGGCAGTCTCTCCATTGATTGTGAAAATGTCAGGCATTTATGCCAAGAAGGGTGAGGGCAATCCAGGATGGGCCTGACGCTCTCCCCGAGTCGGCCTAATCTTAACATTTACAGACTCTCCCCCAAAGTCCCTAACACCAACCACCCTTAGCCCTTACCCTAGGTTTCACTTGCCCCATGTCTCCATTCCCTGACATCCCTTCCAACCCATGCCCCTTTCTCCCAGGCCCCATAGTTCTGGAGTTGAGGCAGCAGGCATCTTCCAATCTGCCTCTGTTTTGCTTGCTCATTGCCCTTGCAAGCTGGAGCCAGCAAGGGGGAGAACCGGGCCAGGCTGCCCTGTGATGCTCTCACTCTTCCCGCTTCTATTGATCAGCCTTCTCTGGAGCAGAGCCTCTTCCCAAACACTCCTCCCCTGCCAGGATTCCCTACAGCTCAGCCCAACAAGCTAGAGGGGCATAGTGACTAGAGATGGGGACCCCCTGAAAAAGTGCCTCTGGGCCACCCCTCCCCTCTCCCATGGTGTATGCAGTATACAGTGGTAACACTCAGGCTCTGGACTCAGCCTGGATTTGTATCCAAGCCCTACCACTCTGAGTTCTGTTACTTAACTGACCTGTACCTCAGATTCTTTGTCTGCAAATTGAGGATAACAATAATAACAATAATAAATGAATTGGGCCAGGCTCGGTGGCTCAGCCTATAATCCTACACTTTGGGAGGCCGAGGTGAGTGGATTGCCTGAGCCCGTGGGTTCGAGATCCGCCTGGGCAACTTGGAGAGCCCTCATCTCTACAATAAATCAAAAAATTAGCTGGGCGTGGTAGTGCGCGCCTATAGTTCCAGCTACTTGGAAGGTTGAGCGGAAGGATCGCTGGAGCCCAGCAGGTCGAGGCTGCGGTGGCCGGGAGCGGCCACTGCACTCTAGTCTGGGCGACAGAGTGAGACATCAGGAAAAAAAAAAATTTTTTTAATAAAAAAATAAATGAATTAGTACATTCAAGTGCTTGAACTCAGGAAATGTTGAAAAATAAGTTACAGGCCAGGCTCGGTAGCTCAGCTTGTCATCCCAGCACTTTGGGAGGCCAAGGAGAGTGAATTGCCTGAACCCGCGGTTTCGAGACCAGCCCAGGCAACTTGGTGAGACCTCGTCTCTACAATACAATAAAAAATTAACCAGGCATGGTAGCATGCTCCTGCAGTTCCAGCTATGTGGAAGGCTGAAGCGTAAGGATAGCCTGAACCCAGCAGGCCGAGGCTGCGATGGTCATGAGCATGCCACTGTACTCCAGACTGGACGATGGAGTGAGACTCCAACTCAAAAACAAAAAAAGAAAAAGAAGCTGCAGTACATATATAAGCAAAGACATACACATACACAGTATCCAACTTTTTTTTTTTTTTTGAGTTGGAGTCTCACTCTGTCACCCAGACTGGAATGCAGTGGCCACGCTCCCGGCCACCACAGCCTCGACCTGCTGGGCTCCAGAGATCCTTCCGCCTCAGCCTT